TATTTTTCCATATTAATAATTAAAGTAAATATCATGAACATTAATATCTCATAAGACTAAAACTAATAATCTAAAAAAATAAAAAGTATTTTACAATAAAAATATAATTTATTTTTTTAAAAATAAACAAATCTTTGTTTGAAAAAAAAAAAAAATGAAAATTAAAGGCAATAATTAAAGTTTTTCAAAACCAAAATCATTATAAAATTAAAAAGAATCTTATACAAATAATACAGAAAATATATATTTAAATAATAAAAAGATAATATCCAATATAAAGAAATATGATATAAAAATAAAACGATAATCATTGGTATAATTTAGATTTTGTTTTTTTTTTAAAAAAATAATAATAATATATTTTATATGAATTTTAAATAATAAATTTAGTAAGATAATGTTTATGGAAACAGGAATATGTATTAAAAAGAAAAAATAAATACCCTTCCTAATTGTAATATCTTTGTGAAAAAACAATAAGAAAATACTGAATAGAGAATTTTTAAAAATAGCTTATAATAAAATAATTAAATATATTTTTAACTTCTAAATGAATATGAAATAGGTTCATAAATAGGTATTTTTTATTTTACTTTTTTAATAATTAAATGACAAAAATAAAAGGAAAAGGATCATATGCGGCTGTAATTTAAGCTAAAGACAAAAAAAATAAAATAGAAGTAGCAATAAAAGTATATGACAAACATAAACTTTATGATTCTTTAAAAAAAAAAAATTTATAAAGTGAAATTTAAGTTTTGAATTAAATATAACATAAAAATTGTGTGTAAATGTATAAAACACTAGAAAATGAAAAATTAGTAATATAAATTAATATTAATTATTTACTTTTTTTTAAAAAATAAAGTGTTGTATAATTATGGAAAATGCAGGAAAGGCGTGTTTATATGAATATTTGAAATTAAATAGGTTTTTGGAAGAAAAAGAAGCGAAAATAGTATTTAAATAAATAATGGAAGGAGTTAATTATTTACATTAAAAAAATATTATACATAGAGATATAAAATTATAAAATATATTAATAGATTAAAATAAAATAGTAAAAATAATAGATTTCGGATTTTCAATTATTTCAAATTAAAAAATAAATTAATTTTGTGGAACAAAAAATTATATGGCACCTGAAATTATTTCTTATTAAGATTATTATGGTCCTCCAGCAGATATATGGGCTTGTGGCATTTTACTGTATTATATTTTAGTAGGAAGTTTTCCTTTTAAAGGAAAGGACGAAATGTAATTAAATAAAAAAATAATATGCGGAAAATTTGATATTCCTGGGCATGTTTCTTAAGGAGCAAAATAGTTAATTGTTAATATGTTAAAAGTTGATCCTGAAAGCAGAGTTACAGCTTAAGAAGTATATGCTATATTTTAGATAATATATATATATATATATATATATATATATATATATATATATATATATATATATATCTTATTTTTTATTAATCTGTTTTTGTAAAAAAAGGTTTTATAAAATACATGGATAACTCCTATTAATATAAATAATAAAATATTTTAATTGAAATAATTGATATAATAATAATCTTTAAATAATAATTAATTTTTATGATTAATTTATTTATAATATATTATTTATTATTATTATCAAACTATAAAAGTAAAAATATATAATTTTATATATATTTATTTTCATATTATTCTTATATTTTTAAATATTATGCATTTTTAATCTAACTTATTCTAATTAGCATTTTCTTCTTATTAAATGTTCTAATAAGTTATATTTTGCTTATATTCCTTATATTTAATAAATGAAAAAGTAAATAAAAATAATATCATAATAATGCTTAATGGAATAAAAAGCATTTATCTCATTTATTCTTATTAAATTTAAAACAATTAAACTTCTTTTTAATTATTTTTTTTTTCCTGATTATTTTAAAATAATAAATTATTTTCTTTTTAATTTTCTATTTCATTATTTTTAATATCATCATCTTCTTTTTTGTTTTATTCTTTTTTTTATTTCTTATCTATATTTTTTTATTAATTATTTTTTTTTTGTCATCTTATTTTTCATTTTCTTATTATCTTTTTTTATTTTAGTTATATATGTCTTCTTTTTCTTCATTTGTTTCTGTTTTATTATTTTCCCTTTATTCTTCTTCTTCTTCTTCTTCTTCTTTATTTTTTTATTCTTTTTTATCTTCATTTTATTAGTTTTGTTCATTTTCGTTTTATTAGTTTTGTTCATTTTCATTTTATTATTCTTATATATCTAAAATTTCTTAAGAACCAATACTTTTATTTAATATTCTTTTTATTTCTAATTCTTATGATGTTAAATTAATATCGTTTTCATCTATTTATAATTCTTATTTTTTGCTTATTTATTATTTTTTATTTTTTTAATCATTATTATTATCCCTTTCATTTACACTATTATTCTGTTTTTTTTAATCTTCTTTATTTTACTTATTATTATTATTATTTTCTTTATTTTTATCATCTTAATTCTATTATTTCTAATTTAAATCTTTTTTTTTTCTTCTTCTTTTTCTACGTTTTATATTTCATTTTGAACTTCTTCTTTTTTTTCTTTATAATTACTTTTAACTTGATTAGTATATTTTTCTTAACCTATTTAGGTTTCAAAATAATTTTAATTATCCAAAAAATTAATAGTTTCTTAAAATTCTAAATATTCTAAAAGTTATTTAATTTAAATTTCATCATTGTTTTCTGGTTTTTCTGGTTTTTTGTTTTTTTCATCTTATTTTTTGTCTTAAGTTGCCTCTTCTTTTTCTTATTTTTTTTATTAATTTTCTTTTTTTTTTTTTTATGTTTTTTCATTTTCTTCTTATTTTTATTCATTTTTTTCTTATTTTTTTTCTTTTTTTTCATTTTATTTGATATCTTCTTCATTATTTTTATTATTTTAATCTACTTTTACTAATTCTTTTTAAATTATATTTATTATCTCTTAATTGTTTTATTTTAATGCAAAAACTAGAACTTAAAATATCAACAATAACACTATAGTTTTCATTTATTTTTTTACTTTTTATAAAAATTAAATTTATTTTCTTTTTTTTCTTAAAAAGTAATTTTATAAATTATTAGTTATAAAAAAAAAAAAGCATTAAATTTAAAATAAATAAATTATAATATATATATGTACTTTTAAATATATAAATTACTTATATTTTAAAAGTAAAGTAATATAAATTAAATAAATAATAAAATAATTATCCAGCAATACACACATATATATGATTAAAACAAATTTAATAAAAAAACTAAATACATTAATAAAACAAGAATAGTTTAATGAAGTCATTTAATATTTATCAATTCATTAAAATATAATATTAAGCTAATTAAATAAAAATTGTAAAATAAAAATATATATAAATATTTTTTAAACTTAAAAATAAGTATTAATTATATCCTGCAATTAAGGAAATTAGCGATTATTTGATTTTATAATCTCTTATATTTAATATCAGATTGAACAAGAAGTTATAAGCAAATAAGATTTTTATTAATATATTAATTTTTAAGATAAATTTGGCTATACTGCATTATCATACGCTGTATTTTAAGAAGAAGATGTAAAATTAAAAATAAATAAATGAATACAAATATACATTAAAAAAAAAAAAAATTACTATTAAAAAAAAAAAAAAAAGAATACAAATATATATCTAAAAATATATAAAATTAGTATATGGTAGAAAAGTTATTAGAATTAAAAGCAGATTATAATTTAAAATCAATATAAGGAGAAACAATTCTTCATTTAGCTTCATAAGGAAATTGTTTGAAATTTTTAGTAATAAATTAAAATATAAATCCAATAATTTAAAAAAATACCTTATTATAAAAAAAGATTCAATTTTAAAGATAAGGACTCAATATAAATGCAAAAACAAAAAATAATTCTACATTACTTCATATTTCTTGTTATAAAGGGAATATAGACACTGTACGTTATTTATTAAAAAGCGAAATAGAAATAAACTAAAGAGATATTGAAAATCATACTCCTTTACATTTAGCAGCTCTATCTCAATCTTATCGATTAATAAAGCTTTTATTAATAAAAGGGGCTGATAAAAACTTAATAAATAATTAAAATAAAACTCCTTTTTAGGTAGCAGAAGCATTAGATAAAGGTAATTAATCTTTATTAAAACTGCTAAAAAAATAGAAATTTTGTTTAAATTTTTTTTATTGTAAGTATAATTTGAAAAATTAAAAAGATTCAATAAATATTTTTTTTTATGCTTTTTAATTAAATTGTACATTTTTCGATTTTTTTTGCTGTAATTTATATTCGAAATATAAATTTATTTATACCATATATTATTCTTTATACTATATTCTTTATATTTTATATACTTTCATTATTTATAAACCCAGGAAAACTTAAGTAGTTTTCAAATGAAAGTTTAGATTCTTACTAAAAAAGGCTTTTATAGTTATTAAAAGCTAAAAAAATAGACGATATTTGTGTCACTTGTTGTATTATTAAACCTCCTAGGTCTAGACATTGTGATTTTTGTGATTCTTGTATATCTGTATATGATCATCATTGTCCTTTTATTGGTAATTGTGTAGGATCTAGGTAAAATATATATATATATATAATATTAAGTTTGTTGTATTTATTTTTTAGAAATCATGGTATATTTCTCATAATGATTTTTAGTTTGCTAATTATAATTTTTTATAGTTGTTTTTGCTTATTTTTTATTATTAAAAATAATTTTGAAGATATTTTTTTAGTAATTTTTATGGTAATTTATTCGTCGCTTTTTTTATATCCTGTTATAAAAATTTTTTGTGTACATATATGTAATTTTATTTAAGGGAAAACTTACTCTGAAAGATGCGAAATTTAATAAAATTTAATTGAAAAATAATAAAAAATATAAGTTTTTACTAATTTTCTTAATATGTGTTATTTTAATTCAAAAAATGATACTTTTTTATAGATGAAGAAATGCATTCATAAATTTTCGAAGAAAAATTTTCAAATAAAAAGTAAATTTTAATAAATTTGTAATGATATAAATATATATAAGTATTTATAAATATTTATATATAAAAAAAAATTTATAGTTATTATTAAAATTAAATTTTAAAATATGTTATTTATAAAAATGTTGTAAATGTATTTTTTGTTTATTAATATAATTTTAATTAATTTTTTAGTAAATATTTAAAAATATTTAATTTATTAAAAAATTTTTATAAAAAAATATTTTGAAAAATAATTTTTTAAAAAAATAAGCATTGATTATTAAAAAAATAATATATAAAATATAATATTTCATTAAAAAATTAAATATAAATACTAATAAAATTTGAAAAAAAAATTATATTATTATTAAAAAAAAAAATCTAATTTGATTTTATATATAAAATAATAAAAAAATAATTTTATTATAAATATATATATGTATATAAACAAATAATAATATAAAAATTAATTATATATATATTTAAATTTTAAAATTCAATTATAAATTTATAAATAATAATTCTATTTTTAAAATAATTAAATAAATTATACATATTAAATTATTTTTATATTAAAATACTTTTTTAAGAATTAAAATAATAATATATAGATTAAAAAAAATATATATAATAATATTTATATATATATTTAATTTTTTATTTTATTTTAGTTTTTTATTCTTAATATAATTATATTTTTTAAATAAATATTTATTTAATTTAAAATAATTATTATTATTATAATATTAAATAATAATATCTTTTTAATATATAATTTTTTTAAAATAAATTAAGAAATTATTAATAAAAATATTAATCGTTAAATATAATATATAATTTTTTTTTTTTATAATAATATTAATTAACTAATATTATTAATTTTAAATAATTGTCCTAAAATAAAAATAATAAAAATATTTAATAAAAGTTTATATTTAATGCAAACTAAAAAAATATTTATTTTTTAATATTTCAATTTTAATATTTTTTTTTATATATATTCATTAAATAATTTTCTAAATTTAAAATTTTAAATATCTTGATTTCATTCTTATAGGGTTCTTAGTTAATTAAATTAGAAACATATTAAATAAATATCTAATATTTTATAAATGCAGAAATTATTTAATAAATAAAAATATCAAAAAATATTATTAAAAAATAAAAAGGTAACCAATCATTGTATTTATTATAAAATTTATTTTAAATACTAATACAAATAATACAAATGAAAATTATCTCTATAGAAATTAAAATGAGATAAATTAAATACTTTGATATTCTATTTTTATATTAATAGATACTTTCTAATAAAATAATGAATATGTTAATACTTAATAATGATAAAAAATTAGCTAATATTATTAAGACAGTTTTTTAAAAATTATAAAATAGAATAGAATTAAAAGTAATAAGAATAATATATTTTATATATTATTAAGTTATTCTAAAAGGTCTATTTAAAAATTAATTAAAAATAATAAATATTTAAATTAATTCATGAAAAGTTATAATTTAAGCAATTATACTTTCTTTTAAAAAGTTTTATAAAACAATTTAATTATGAAAAGAAGTTTAATTATTTATTTGTAATATAGAGTTATTTTTAGTAAATATTATTTAATTAACTTTTTATTGCTATTATTAATATGATTTAGTAATTTTATTTAGACTTTTTTAAATTTAATTGTTACTATCATTTGCTTTATCTTCATAATTATAGTTGTTTTACACATTTTTATTTATTTATTAGTTATATTAAATTTAAAAATGAATTAAACTATTTTTTTATTTTTTTTTCATAAATAAAGTAGGTTTAGCTTGATTATTTTCCGTATCTTAAATTTTATTATAATCATTTTAACGTTCTATGCAAGCTTCTTTATTATTTTATTATAAACCAACTTTAGTATATATTTAAGAATTTAAGTTACTAATTTTACGTGTAATTAATGTTTTTATCTTATCTTCTGTTGCCAATTAATCATCTCCTTTTTATTAATTTTGATCATTTAGCTTACTTTCATTTTCTATTATATTAGATTTAATATTTAAAGGCATTATTTTTTAATTTTTCCTTTGTTATTTTTTTGATTATATCTATTATGAGATCAAAGAACCTTATTAATTTATTGATTATGTATCGTTTTCATTTTTTATCACAATATCTTAAAATTATAAGACTTAATTATTCTAGCTAAAAATTTTATTTCTTTAAAAGTCAACTAAAGAATATTAAAAAAATAAAAATATTAATAAATAATAATAAAAAAAATATTGTTATAAAACCATTTGTAAAAATAATTTTTCCATTATTTTATTATAAAAAAATAAAATATTTTGTTATTATAAATAATATTTGTTTTAAAAAATACTTATTTTTTAACTGGGAGTTTTTAAAAGATTTTAGTTTTGTATTTAAATAATTTATTCACGGTTTTTTAAAATATCATCTAATTATTAATTTCGTTCTTCATCATTAATATCCTTATTAAAAATAATTTCTGTGATTTAATTTCTTTTTATTGTGCTTTATTACATTTTTTATTCATGATTATTATCAATTTTTTATAAATATAAAAATAATATCAGATAAATTATAGTAGTAGCAACTAAAGTCCATACAGAAGCATAAAAATACCAATCATTTATGCGAGTCACTTTAAATATTTCATTTATGTCATTAACAAGAGTTTATTTTCCTTGAGTTTTGCATTAACATATAAATTATTATATTCGATTTTAGTCATTAGTATAATATAAAAGTACGCAATCTTTAGAAATCCATTTGCCTTAAATATTTTAAATGCAAATATAATTCCCAACATTGTCTATAGCTTCAGATAAATTGTAAATGTTGAATAAAGGAATATCAAATTGTATTTATTATTAATTATATTCAAAAGTTATTGTCTTTTCATTTATGGTAAAAGTATGATTGTTTGGGTAAGGGAAATTATCATCATAAGTTATTACAGAAGAAGGATATTCTAAATAATTTACATAATATTATAGATTTTCTTAGTTTTTTTCTATATTTATACTTTCATAATATGAGTTTGAATTTAATTTCAAATATTTTTCTTTTAAAACTTTATAGGTTGTTTTTTAAGTAGAAATTATATTTAGAACATTTATAGGATCATCATTTGAAATCAAAAACACATGCAATGCTTAAGATATCGTTCTCATTATTTGCATGTATTATTTATCTAATAATGAGTTTTATTTATGTTAAAATGATTATCTATCAACTTAATAAATATTTTAAATTATTTTTGCTTATAATATAAAAATTTATACTGATTAAAAAGATTTTTCATATTATGTCGTGTCAGAAATTACTATATCTTTAATTACTCTTAATAAATAATTTATTATTTATGCAATATTATTAATAAATTGTTCTATTTTATCAAATCCTATTTATGTTAACATTTAATTGAGAAAGTTACTAAATATTAAATTTAATGTTATTTATGTCTATACAAAATAGTCAAAAGAGTCAGTTTATTATTAAAAATAGTTTTACAAATTCATAATTTCATTTAAAATATCAATATATAATTATATAAACTATTCAGTTTGCAATGATAAAACACTAGCATGATTAATAATATCATAAATAATCATATTATATTAAATTATTTTATTTTTATTTAATATATTTTATTATGTTTAAGTAAACCAATTATTTATAAATGTATAATATGAAGAACTATCTTAACTATATTGACTTACTATGATTTATTAAGTTATATTTCTTATTCCTCCTTTCGAATCTTATATTACTGCCATAAATAAAGACGCACCAAAAGGTAAAACAGTTTCAATTTTATTATTTAGTGAGAAATCAGATATCAATTGCCTATTAACATATTATGCATTTAATAATTCATTATTATAATCATCTTAGTTTTTATAAAAATAGAAAGAATAAGTTAAAGGTTAATCAGTATCAATACATTCATTTATTGCAAAAAGTTATTTATCTTACATATTTCTAACTTCAAAGCCTGTAGTTTTATCAAAAGTACAATCTTATGGAGGAATATTAGCATTTAAAGAATAAGAAATTAATGTTGGTGTTATAAAATTGGGATTTCTTACTGAAAATTTTAGTTCAAATTAATTTTAATTTTAAAAGTCGAAGAAATATTCCCAAATTTTAAATCTGAATTAAATGTAATTTATTGATATTATATTTACTTATTAATTCTAATATATGATAACTCCTGTAATTATTAAGTCATCAATATTTGTATCTTCTTGACAATCAAATTATATAAATATTTCTTAATTTAAATTTATTGTATTTTAAAAATCGTTAATAGAAATATTAGGATTAACAGGAAATGTATTATAATCAACCATTAATATTGTTATCTAATCAAACGCGGTTAATCCGTATTTTCTTCCTGATATTTTAAATTAGTATAATTAATTAGGCTTTAAAACATTATTTTATATAGTAATTTATAAGTTTTATGTAATTGGAGAAACAATTAAATTATTCGACGAATCTTTACAATCATCTCTAGCACTTATGTTTATACATTGCCAACTTATATTTATTTCACAATTATTTGATATTAATAAATCTTTTTCAATTGGGGTTAAATTAGTATCATCTACTATTGCTTTTATATCAAAACTTTTAGAAAATAATTCTTATCTGTTTCCTCCTAAAATTTAAACTAAAGGAGGATTAGAAAGAACTTATAATGGGAATAATATTAT